GTCCATGGGTCGCAGTGGAGTGCTGGCCAGCGCGCCCATGCTGCCGCCGGTGCTGCCCGCCGGTGACGTCACTGCCGGCACGCTCTGCACAAACATTTTTGTAACAACTAATTGTCGCTAGATGGCGCTCTAATTAATTATAGGGCCTGTTTCCATTTTCTTCCACTGAAATATAAAATACGTAATTTCGACTTGTTTTTTCCTAAACGATATTTTATTCGCTGTTTGGTACATATTTGTCAAAGATAAATAGTTTTTTTTTTGCACTTTCGTAAATTCTATGTATACTAGAACCTGTGACTTATCACTCTTGGGAGTGATTTCCTCTTTGACAGCCTCCTTCTTGGCTTCCTGCTTTTCTCGCGCCAGCAAGATTTCTGGACATTCCACCAGCAAATTCGAAGTCAAATCACCACCTGATTCGTTCACTAGACATTTCCCGTATATCTTCTCGTAGAATGCGTTCTGAAAATACATCAATCTTACTAATATTACTGTGAAAGATTAGATGGATGGATGGATGGATGTTTGTTAGAGAACTGCTAAACAAATCTCGACAAAATTTGGCATAGATGTAGTACATACTATGGAAGTAACAATATGCTTCTTACTTTTTTTTTATTCAATTCGGACGGAGTCACGACCGTAAGCTAGTTATTTATATTTTTTCTAATTCTCAAGTTTAATTAAAATATGATAGTGAATATGTTTTGTTTACCTTTTCATCGAGTGTTAAAGGTGTTCCGATCTCTTTGTTAGTAAACTGTATGCAGGCGACTGTGCCATCTGAACTACACGCCAATAGATTTAAACCTGAAATGCACAATACTCATATAAATGTAAATGTCAATAAAAATGAACGTTTTTATATACTATAATATTCCTATATTATAAAACTTGTTGTTGGAACTTCGTCCACATAAAATTTAGAAATTGCCTATGTTACTCAGCTATAAAGTAGCTTTCTAATGGTGAAAGAATTTAAATCGGCCTAGCAGTTTTATAGTTATTTCAATACATACATAAATACTGATCTTTGCTCTTTATAGTACAGATAAAGTAAAAAAAACATAGTTTTTAAGTATTATGCAACAATAATAGTATTGAAGGACCTTAAAATGGGTGTCGCGATTTGACAATATAGGTTTAGGAAACAGTTTAGGTGTATTTATGGTGGTTAGCTTTTTTCTTTATTATTACGGGGGTTGGTTGCCCCCCCCCCCCAATTTTACCAGCGACATAGACAATGGTATATTAGCTGGTGATAATAAACGGTGGTATACCATCCGAGCTCCAAGAGAGATCGAGGACACTGTCGCTGAAGAGGTCGTGTACAACAACAAGAGGCCGCTTCAGTGAAGTGAGCCAGATGGAGAGCGCGCGGTCGCGGGAGCCCACCGCAGCGCAGCAGCACTTCTTGCCTTCCTTCACGAATATGTTGTTGTTGAACCGCTAAGAACAGTTTAAAGTTACCATAATTAGTACTTAAACCTGATAGAAATATACTAATTGTTAAACATCCCCCAAAAGCTAATAAAGGAGGCGCTGTAAAATCCTCGCCCAAAGCAATAGTACGACTAAATTCTGTACTATTTGGGATATTTCCCTCTTACAATTTTGGATGAGTTAGGAATATACTATAATTAAAAATATAAGAAAAATTAAAGAAACTTATTTGGTAAAATATATATTCTATACTAAATTTCATCAAGAACTGTGCAGTCGTTCCAAAGATATATAGTCAAACATTTGTATTCTTAATATTTCATCATCACCAGCACACTATATGTCCCTAGAGAGTCGGAGCCT